TAATGAGTTTAAATTAGATTTAAAAAAAAGTCTCGTGAACATATCCTTTGCTCTCTCTATATTTTATTATAACTACTGTATTAAATGATAGAAAACAATTTATGTTTTTCTTTTAATTTGCAAACACTGTTTCTCAGAATATATTTTAGGCTTGTTAAAGATTTCTGGTGTATAAGTTTTGAAAATCAGAATTTACCATTCACCATATACCAGAATTGCTATTAAATAGCTCCAACACGATGTAGATACCAGAATATGGTGGTCCCATTATTCATCTGGTGTGTGCAGACAAGGATGAATCAGCTGTAGTTGCAATCTAACTTGCAAAGTAAAAACTTCTTTTTGTTTATGTTAGAAGAGGTCCTTTGAAGAACTGCGTGAGGATCATCCTCATCTGTGTCAGCTTTTAAGTATATTTACCTTGGGGGCTCTTTCATCTTCCTTTGTGAGGAACATTCAGTCATGTGTGTTTTGATACTGTCCTGAAAGTGTGCAGTAAGACTGGTGTGTATTTGTAATAAACGAATTGGATTTGATTCTCGGATTCCTCAAATGATGGGATTCCTGATATCCAGTAAAAACCTAGCTTGTTTTCAATGTGTGAAACAGATTTGTGGAGTAGTTTCTTACTTGATTGTCTGAAATTCTCATTGGATTCTGGAGGGACTATCTTCAGGATATTATACTACACATAGACTAGATTTAAAGCCTAAAGGGAAACCTTAATTAGTTTTAAGCTCCCACATGACTTTATTGCAGGATTAGAGGTCTAAGTACTGCTGTATTTTTTTGATAACTGTTATTTACATCAGCATGGCGCTCGCAGAGCCACAGGCACAGCTTAGAATACCCAGATAAGAAGTTGCCAGAAACTCCTCCTCCAGCATGCGCCTTCTTTTTATACCCAGTAATCTTTCACCAGCTTTTTACACATTCATCTTTTGCATATTTCTTCTCTCACACTGATAACTCTCTCCCCCTGACATTTTAATTTTCATTTTCCCTCCTCCTTCATTTTTCTCTTTTAAGTTTTTTTCCCGTCCCCCCTGCCACCCCCCATTTTCTTCTCACCTCAGGAGGAAGGAGAACCAAGTTGCCGCCTCACCTCATTCCTTTTTGTCATCTGTTTTTTCTGACTCCTCACAAGAAGAAGAAAGGGATCTGCAGGTTTGGTAATTGCTGTCCACTGGAACCAGTAAAGCACGATCTGCTGACAACTGGAGCAAGTAAGAGTCAGCCTGGAGAGGAAGCAAACACTGGTGGTTGATAACAGCATGGAAGCTATCGCTTTTTGTTTGCACACACGTTTTAAATAAACTGCTGTTCACAGTAGCCAAGGATTCATATCCCCTTGGTGAACCCCAGACCAGGAATACATTCCTTCTTCCCCAGCACTGAGCAGATTCTAAACCACAAATGATCTTTGGGTGCCTGCATTTCTGGATGCCTCATGTGTGACATCTTAAGAAGGAACTGATCTTCAGAAGCTAGTGCTCAGGTCATTTAACTGCTGGTCCTGGCACACTGGTTGTAGTAGCACACCCCAAATTTGAATCATAACACATCACTGGCCACTTTTGCACATGAAAAAAAGCCTGCAGCTTCCTAGCAGTTACTGTAGATGCAAATAAACAGGAAAGGATCCTAATTGTACTTGTGGCTCCTTGTGGGTCATTTACCTTTTGCCTCAGCTGAGAGAAAAATAGTCCCATGCAAACCTTTCTAGCCCTTTTTTTAGATAACTGTTTATTCTTCACACACCAAACTAAATTAGCTGTACATGTATGGCAGTTTTCTACATAAAAACATAGTCATATCCCTGTGTCTAGTTTTCTGCTGGAGCTGACCTCTCTTTTTCCCAAGCCCTTCTTGGGAGTCAGCCTTCTGCATAGAGCTCATCCAAACTTTTTCCCAGCACTTTCCAGGAACCACCTGAACATTTCCTAACTCAGTATGATCATACCTCAGGGCAAGCTGACCCCGTGGCTTCACCACTCGATAAAAGTCAGGCCTCTGATTAAATCATGACTTCAGGACAGCAACAGAAAAAAGTTTTCTGTGAGTTCAGAGTTCCAATAGTTATACCTATATTAAAACTCTTACAACTCATTCAAATAATTTTGTGCTACCTCTGGATTTTCTGTATCCTTGTGTTTTTCTTCAAGATTTCACACTCAGGGTAGTGGGAAACCAACACTGCCCATCCAAGTCTTACTTTTTATTGCTCTCTGATAGAACAACAGCTATTACTAGGTTTGCTGAGAACAAACACAAAAGAGGCCAGCAAGATTTTATGACGTTTTTGTAGAACTGTGAAATAAGTAAGAGAAAAAGTCTTGGGTTTTTTTGTGTGTGATTTTTTTTTTTTTTATGAGTGCCACTGTAAAACAATATTCAGTTAAAAAAAACAAGCAGCATTTTATTTCATTTAATTTCATTCTCCACCATATGGATCATTTAGTAATTGAATACTACAGATGCAAATACACAGTGATGACTCAGCTGTGGAATTTGAGATAAATGTCAGTAAGAGTTTGTAATGTATTATGTGGGCTTAGCTCTGCCTAATTCCATTAGGAACAACAGGGCAGAAAGCCTTATCCTATATTCTAAAAAAAAAAACAAACGCCCCCCTCCCCCCAAAAAAAAACCAAAAACAAAAACAAAAAAAAAAACACACAACCAAAAACCAACCCCAACTTTGGCTATTTTCATATAGTTATCTCAAAGCCATTTGTGGAAACATCATGTCTATTCATTTTGCTTGAAAAGAGAAATCCAACATAGTTATGAAAGTGATGTTTATTTTGTCAGATAACAGGAATTATACCATCTGACTGTTTGTATCTAAACTCACAAAGGGTCCTGCAGGAACTGACCAAGGACTGGTAACAGCTAGTGCTGATCCTAATTCCTTAGGCCACATTTCTCTTTGCACTGAGCTTTCCAGTGCAGCAGCTTTTCAGCTCTCCAGGGAGTGCTAGCACCCCCAGTCTGAAGTAACAAAGGGTTGACTGTAACATCACTTCAATCCTAAAATACATAATTCAAACCCCAAAACAAAAATATGAAGGGCAAATATTTGGTCTTTATTCATTTTATGAATACTGCATACATAGTAATACAAAAAACCTCAAATGCTTGTAATACCAGTCCCTAATACTTAGCTCCCTGCTGGAGAGTACCAGGAAGGGTTTTTTTTGTTGTTTATTTAAAGAATCTGGCAATATAGTAGCCCATCTTGCAGATCTTCCTCACGTCCAAATAAAAAAGCCTAGATAAAGATTCTCAGCTTACCCCCCATTTAAAAAAAAAAAATTTGAAAAAAAGAGCAAGTGAAGGAACAAATGCGTTTTCTTCACGTTTAGTGCTCAGTTCCACAACTAGTTTATATAGAGCTTCACTCCTGAGACCACATGAACGAAGCTCACAATCAGAGATTTAATGGGAAATACAATTGACTAGCTGCTGTGAAAAGGAGAAAACCATTTACTTTGTACAATGAACAAAGTTAAAGTTGTTCTACCAGTTGCAAAGGCAATGAAGCATTTGCAGTTTGAATTTATAGCCACAGAATCCTTTGATTTTGCAAACTTTTTGCATGTGTTACAAAACAACAGGATTTGCCAGATGTTCCACGCTTTTCAAATCTAGTGCTTATTTAGTAGTCATAAAACCATGCATTCAGAAATCTGGGTTTTATGCTGCTGCTGCAAGGTAAAAAAGCTCTGTGGGTTCTGGCTATGAACACAACTTTTTTTTTTTTTTTTTTTCCAGTTTTCTAGTGTATACCTACACCCTCTTGCTTTATAGCTATGCTGCTTTTGAGGCAGTTTCTTAACTGCATGACTTAAGTATCTAGCATTCATTTTAATTGTTTACTTTAATATAATGCTCTATATTAGACCATTTATCCTTATTTACTGTGATGCCTTTAAAAATACTAATTTATTAAAATGTAATAATAACCAAAAATGTAGTTTTAAAAATTTACCTAAGTATTACATTAATACTGGTTTCCATCCTATGAACTAAGATTTCTTTATCCATAGTAGGAGCTGTTGATGCTACTGTGCAGCTGCTGGTATGAATTTAGTTACCGTTTGTTGCACTACTTTCTTGAGATGCACTGAAGTGACAGTTCAGAGGAGACTGTTCAATACATGACTTCTTTTAAAAATAACTTACCTGAAGAGGTTATTCTTCTATTCTGATTACATTACTCTGCTGTGCTGTAAAAATAAACTAGTTAAAAATAGAACTGGAGAGTAAGACAGATATGACTGACAAACAAAGAGGTGTAAGTGTATAGGCACTGGTGATCTTGGCCAGCTGAGACAGGTAAGTTGATGATAACATGAATGACCTCATTTGGATGTGTTGCTGAGAAAATTGTGAAATATTTCTATTTTCTGGGCTATTCTGAAACATATATAACCCATGGGATCAGGAAAAAATACACAATCAGGATGGGATATTCAGATTACTGAAAAGCACGTTTGATGTTTAGAGTATTAAAACTCCATTTGCTTCCATGTTCTCAGCAATCTGGGAAAAATTCTGCTATGAAAAAAGAGTGCAACTAGGTCAGTTCAGTTGATGGTACAGAAAATCTGGAATTAAACTACAATGCTGCAGATTGTTAGCAATAATTCAAACTGCTATCTTCATATTAAATGATGAAGTGGACATAACTTTACTTCACTCATTTCATAGGTTTTTTTCTATAATCTCAATGCTAGTCTACCTGATAGTGCAGTATTTTATTACAACTTTTGTGTCTGGAAATTACATACATTTTAAAGAAATGTAAAACAAAAGACACAACTACAATCACTCCAAAAGTTGTTTGTTTTAAGGTACAGGGTTCCAATTTCACTAAAGGAAGAACTACTTTAATTTCATGTGTACTGAGACCTTGCTCCAACTACACTTAACAAATACACCCTAATAAATTTAAAGAACCAAATGTCAGTAGAAGCTAATCTTACAATAGAGACCAGTTCTCTACTACTGAAAGTTGCATTTTCCTAATTTGTTAAAAAAAAAAAAAATTGGTCCACATACAAAGTAAAATGGGTAAAAGTAAGTCTAAGCTGAGCAAACATTGCCTTTTTTATTCAGTTCCAGCTGTAGCGGTCACTTGGAGGCAAATCATAATGTGTTCTCTCTTCCTCTTCAGGTCCATAATCTAATGGCAGACCATAATTGTAATCAACTGTTACAACTGGTAATCTTTTGCTTTGTTCCATCTCTCTGGCACTTTCACCTTGAAAAGTTTGTCTTTCATAGTCTATTGAACTATCTTCTTGGTGCATAGATGAAGATGGATGCATTGTTCGTGAAGAATATGGTGCAAATCTGTTTTTTCCTCTATTAAATTCATCTGAGGGATGCATTCTCCTATTTTCTTCAGGACAATTTGATCGATTACTGTAAGAAGAACAAATATGAACAGTGAAAACAGTGAAAACCTTAAAAATAAAACAGTTGATTTATCATTGGTGGCCACCACTAGAAATTAAACTTGTGTAACCTCAAAAGAACAATTCAGACCCTCATTCTTGTTTTTACCCCCATAAAATTAAAGTCCTCTCTACCAGATGTTGCAAACTTGTTTATATTAATTTTTCAATTCCAGTGATTACAATTACAGCTTTTTGTAGTAATTCATTCTACTAGAAGATGTTTTGTTTCAAGTGCTGTTTCTAATTAAAATTTCCTGTTTACTGAGAGTTTCTTTACCTATGGACCATTTTTGTCTCTAAGCCCATGTTTTAATTTTTGTGAATAATGCATAATAGTAGTTCTCTAGTACAGTCTCAACAGGCAATAATATAGTTTGGCTTTATAGCTCCAAATATTTTAATTGTTAATTCTTCTGCAATAGAAGAATCACTCTCCTACAAAATACACATGGAAGGATCTAAAAATGCATATAACAAGGTATATACTTTTTGGTTTGGATTCTTGTTACTCTGAAGTACCTTACTTATTTTGTAAAATAAGTGGCATATAAAGCAATTCCAGAACAATCTTTGTAATTTTAAAATCTTCTCCCTCACTGAACCACAGATTAATTTAGACTGGAAAGGATGTCTAGAAGTACCTAGGGCCACCTGCTCAAAGTAGGTCTAATTAGATGAAATTCTGCAGGGGCCATGTCCAGCTGAGTTCTGAGTACCTCAAAGGATGGGGATTTCACAACTGCTCTGGGCAACCTGTTTCAGTGTCTGACCACTCCTCACAGTAAAACTCATCAGCTTGTTGTAGCCAGCAGTTAAGAGTTAAATATAGCATCCGTATTTTGCTTTTTTATTTACGGACAACAGCTTTTCATATTTTGTAGTATGTTAGCTTGAACTGTGCTTGTCATGTCAATGACTTACGTCACCGGTTGTCAAATCATTTCATAATCACACTCAAACTCAATACAGATGGACCACAAATTGGTCACATTATTTGCTCAGTGTTCACATTCAATAGTTTAAACTGCATTTAAGCAAAAATATTGACATCAATTTTTACACTGTGCAGTTAATTTGTATTTGTTAGCTGGGAAAGTGGGGGAGTAACAGTATAAAGGTAAGTCAGAAAACAACGCGTGAAATCTGATAATTACCTATAACTTCTGTTAAAGTCATCATTATCAGACCCATAATCTCTGTGAAGTGAAGGAGATGAGGAGAAATGAGGTTCTGGTACATTTTCATGCGAAGAAAAAGATTGACTTCTGCAAATAACCAAAAGAATCACATATTAAGAAGAGTACCAATGGTTGTAAGCTTTTGAAAAATATGTTTATCAAATGAAATAAAAATATTTTTACTTTTAATTAAAATTTACTTAAAATTTTAATAAAAACTATCGTAATTGTATTAATTTAACACCACAAAATGGTATGCTTCATTGTAATGATATCCTCTGTTTCAGCTGTACTATGGAAGAAATTAAATTGAACTTTACTAGCCCAACAAATATCTGAAATATGTGCTGAAATATTAAAAATATTCTGAAATATTATGTCAGAATCCAATAGGTTTACTAATAAGAGATATATATATTTGGGAGAATATGATTCAAGTTCAGAAGCAAAGGGATTTCTAACAAATTATTAACTCATGGAATAAACAAATGCAAGTCAAACTTCCTTGTAGCATTACTGTTTGTCTCTGGCTGAGGGCATAAATAAAATTTTACATCCTCTTCTGTCTTGTTTTTTAAATGTAAGTTTCTATACAAAACAAAGTGGGACAAAGAGTTTTGTTTCAAGCTGACTCTAAAAAGGGAAAGGAAACACATAAGCTTTAAGGAAGTACAACCTTCTAATTTAGGAAACACTGGCTTTCAGAGCTGCAACACTCCAGCTTACATCAAACCCTTCCATAAGTCAAAATAAAAAGAGTTAATTAACTGATCATTTATATGTGATTTTTAAAGGATGATTAATTTATTTCAAATTCATTTATTTTTAAAAATTAATTAATTTGACATGTAAAACTGCTGATGTTTACACTTTTATTATCTAATTCTGGTCTTACAGCTCAAGGATGCTTTACCTGTCTGAACACCATTCACGTGGCAAGTCATTGTGACCTGCATGATCATGAAAAGGTCTGCACCTTTGTCCAGGACCTTTATTAACATAATCAAAATCTTGTAACTGAGTCTGTTCCTGTAAGTGATCATAACGCTGATGGTCATGAAAAGGTCTGCACCTTTGTCCAGGACCTTTATTATCATGATCTTTTAATTGCATCTCTGTTTGTAAGTCATTGCGAGGCTGGTGATCATTGAAAGGTCTCAACCTCTGTCCACAACCCCTGTTAACAAATTCAAAATCTCCCAATTGCCTCTGTGGCTCTAACTCATCATGTGACTGATAGTCATGGAAAGATCTTAGCCTTTGGCCAGGACCTTTGTTGACACAATCTAACTCTTTCAACTGTATCTGAGTCTGAAATTCATCACGAGATTGGTGGTCATGGAATGGTCTTCGTCTCTGGCCACGGCCTCTGCTACCAACATCAAAATCCTTTAACTGTCTGTCTTCCTGCAAATCATTATGAGATGGATAGTCAGGAAAAGATCTCTGCCTTTGTCCACAGCCTCTGTTAAATTCAATGTCCCTCGATTCTCTCTCTGCCTGTAAATCATCATGAAACTGCTGTCCCTGAAAGGGTCTCAGCCTTTGTCCAGGTCCCTTGTTACTGAAGTCTAGGTCCTTCAGCTGCATGTCTTCTTGATACTCATCATAAAACTGGTGATCAGGAAAGGGTCTTCGCCTCTGTGCCGGTCCCCTATTGTAGTCCCAGTTTCTCATCTGCATTGGTGCTCTTAAATCTTCCTGAGTCTGATGGTCATGAAATGGTCTTCGTCTTTGTCCAGGTCCCTTATTAATGAAATCAAAATCTCTCAACTGTATCTGTCCTTGCAAATCATTGTGAGAGTGGTCATCATAAATTCTTAATCTTTTCCCAGACCTGTAAAGAAGTTTTTGTCTTAAATAGAACATCATACTTATAAGTGCCACAAGTCATTAATGAAAACAAGGTTTTTTTAAACAAGAATTGATATGAAAGACATTGCCAATATATAGGTATCAAAGCTGCAAAGAATCCAAACTGTAAGAAAGATTATAAATTTTTCAATGTCATAGTAGAAGCTGTGACAAACATTCAGTTATAATTCTATAGTGCTTGTTAAACAGGCAAAAACAGTGATTCCAAATTAATTAAAAATAATTGCAGATTACTGTAGAATAATACAGAAGGACAGGCAAAGTAAAACTCTAAATTTTTCCAGGTGATCTAATTACTTACGGATTTCTAATAGCACACATTCCCTTTCTTTCCCTTATCTTTTCACTGTTTCATCAAATTCTGTAAATATATTTTGCATGAGTAGGCTATATTCATACAATCTCTTTTAAATTAGAGTATCTATAGTCTTTTCAATAAGAAACAATTATTTTTCCCCATCTGTTTTTTTTTTTTTCTTTTAATTCCATGTTTCAGCCTATTACCCCTGAAAATCTTCATTTGGGAAACTACAGGTCCTTCCATTGCATGTGGTGGGGGAATAATATCTTCCTCTGAATCCCATACATCCATTCCAAGGTTACTAAGAAGAATAAAAACATCTTGCATAAGCTTCCTTTTTAAAAACATACTACTGAGAGAGAAAAAACCTACATAAAATTCAACAGTTCAGAATAACAGAAATTTTTATATGCTAAGTTAAATTTACAGATATTTGTAACTTAGCAAATTTTAATCTTGTAAACTTAGTTGGGGAAGCACTGCAGCAAAGAGAATACCTAAACTTCCTAAGTTTGGAACAACATCCTAAAGGATGCGAGACAAGCACCATACCTATTCAGACATCTGACATGGGACTAACTTAATCATGCACAGACCATAAAACAATGATAGGAGTAAACCAAAGGGCATTCAGTTAAACTAAAAAGAGGCAAATCAGTCAGGTATTAATTTTAAAATCAATTGACTACCACAAGATGTCATTGGCACAAATAACTTAGGAAGATGTAAAGGTTAGCTATTATTAGGTAAGTATGATAAGCATAAAATTCTTACACACCAGGGATACAACTACTATGAACAGAGGAGTTGAGAACAATCTTCCACTTTCCCATACTTTTTTATTGCTAAAACTGTTCTACTTTTAAAATAAAAATATCTGGTTCTACCAGGCAAACAGCAGACAGATCACAGAGCTTATAAAGATATCTTTGCAGCAGCTCCTTTCAGCTTATAATGAGAGAATACAGACTCAGTACACTTGTCACAGTATGATAAAACCACACCAATGTTCAACAGTAGTTGTCAGATTAAAAAAAAACTTTTGAACCATATAAATTCAAAAGATGAACGAAGTACACTGCATTTCATGTTATTCATATCAGAAGACTTACAATATATGTGTAGTTGCACATTAAAGGTTTAAGAGGGGCTTAATTTTGACTTATGACTGGAAGTGAACTTTTAAAAATATCAGCAGACATACTGGAAGATCTTAAGCATACAACTAAAAGCTTTTGTTTACCTTCTCATTGGTTGTGTTCTGAGATCTGTGAGATACACAAGACCATCCATGCGATGGCCTCTAGCATCACCAAAAGCTAAAGAAAAAAAAGATACAAGTCTAATGAAATGTGCTCAAACTGAGCCATAACAATGTGAAAGGCAAGTTTCTGTTCACCATGAGATGCTGAATTTGAAACTATTCTAACTTAATGTTAAATACTTCAGCAAGCTGACATCATTGCAGCATATTTTTTTTTGAACAACTGAAACTAGTACTCGTAGCAACCTATGACTGAAAACCCTTAAACGCAAAAGAAAAAAAAAAAGATTTTAAGCAGCTGAAACGTACTCCTACTATGCTGTCAATTTGCTAGTGCTCAAGTCTTGCCTGGAATAGAATCAACAGTCAGATAAAACCTATGGAAGCCTAGCACATGAAATAACTCTAAAGATAACAAAATAGAATTGTTGTATTTGTGAATACAATTGTAGTAATTGTGAATTACAACCCAACATGTGCCTTAGTTCAAACTGTATAAATACCTTGGATTGCTGCCTCTGGATCCCAGCCTTCAACATCTATAAGGTATCTGAAGAAAAATATGATTATATTATTGTCCCAAAGGGATTACAGACTAATATAAGGACACTATCTTTTGTGAACAATGATTTCTGGTTTTATACAACCCTTACCTACATATAAGGTAGCCAGTTCTATTAATTCCATTAGTACAGTGAACGCCAATGAGTTTCTCTATCAAAAAGGAAAACACAGTCTTTAATAGTTCAGAAAGTGAAATTACTAAAAAAAATCAGTGCAAGACAAAAAAAAAAAAACAACTAACAAAGTAATGATAAATAATGCTTGCTATTTACAAAATTATACTGTCATGCCTGTAAAAGAACAGACACATTCAGACTTTGTCCTCTTCATGCTGGATCTCTAGCAGCAGTTAGCTCACTACTTCCAAACCTGTGAAGACAGATTAACTCTGCAGAATGTAGGAAAAAAGAAAGAGGAGTCATGACAGGTAAAGTGGCTGGCCTCAGCCAGAACTGCAGTAACAGAAGAAAAAGAGTAAAATATAGTTTTGAAAGCAAATCTAAACAAGCAAATGTAAAATTGAGGAACTTAACTTACAGATTCTCGTAAAACTTACGAAAAGGAGAAAATACGCATCATGCCCCTACTATCTAGGAATATGAAATATATGGAAAAAAGAAGCACCACTAATCTCTAAAGAAATCTTGTCTTTTTTTGGAAAGGTTATACTAATCAGCTGAAGGCTAAAAAGCAGAATAACTTAACTATTACTAGGGTGCTTCAAATGAGGTATTTCCAACAGAAATAGGGAAACACTAATATGGTCATGCAAGGCACTGATAAAACATCGTCCAGACTATCCCATACAATTCTACTTACTTTCATATTTAATGAAAAAAAAAAATCAAATTGAACTATGTATAGAAAGGGCTACTATGTTGATCACAAAAGAAGTTTATGAGAAGAGACCTAGGAAGCTTGTCTTATTTAGTCTGTAAAACCAAATCTGAGATACTTAATATAATAACAGGAATGGAGAACAATACTTAAGGGCAAAGTTGGCATAAGAATAAATGTATATTAACTGAGAGTTTTAGGCTAGATTTTAGAAGAAAAACTTTAATTATCAGAAGAACAAAGTTGTGGCAGACACAAAGTACTGACAGATGGTCTTTGAAATGGGACTTTAATAAATTTTGGAATGAGATAAAATATAACTGTTTGCCACAGAACAGTCACATTGCCATGTAAGTTTATTTTAAGTTGGTGTCCTAACAATTCAGACACTAAAAAACCCCAACGTCTCAAAAATTATTTCTAAGAAGAATCCTGAGAAACTTTAGGGTTAATCTAAAACAGAGGGCAAGCTACCACGAGTAAGTTAACAAAAAAATGAAAGTTCTCCCAACTCTGAAGTTACCTAAGCCCTGCCAAAATGGGTTTACTAGCTGGAACTGCAGGTCTTCATCCAGTAAGAAATTAGGAATTGATTCTCTCAATTCTGAGAATCAGAACTAATTAGATTCAAATACAGACTATTCTTTGTCACACAAAAAATCATGAGATCAAACCCACAGAAAACTAATAATCTCCAAGTAATTTCCCTAAGCCAAAAAAGAACAAAGGAAGAACTTGCACACTAACTTCCTGAGCAAGGACAAAGGCTTCTTCTTACACCTTTTAATTTTCTCAGTACTTCTAATTCAGGCTGTCATACCTGAGATTTAGGTCAGAGCTCTTTCACAAAACAGAGTTGACCATCCACAGCAAAACCACAGTTATGCTCTGCAACAAAAACTGTATGCGCTTGTGCAGTTAGTATCTCTACTTTCTTATAGAAAATGCCAAGGTAACCACAGCAAACAGCATGAAAAAGCTTGAAAGAGCAGTCCTCCAATACTGGAGAGACAAACAGTTAAAATCTGCCTACAAAGAATCACTAGCAAAAAAAGTGAGAAGGTAAAAGCTGCAAACGGGCTGTGGCAAAATATATGCAAATTTATTTCTGCAAAAAGCGACTTACACCATTTCAGCAAGAACTGTACTATTGCATAAACACGAAAACAGCAGCAGAGTGGAAACATTGACACTGTGTCTGTAATATGATTTGTAAGAATTGCTAAGATATGAGGGCAATAATGGACTCTCAAATAAAAAACCTGCCACATCAGACTAAACAGACTTAAGTTGCTCACACATATCAGTGCCTAGTGCCATCAGAGAAACGCTGTGCTACTTAGAACATCCATAAAGAGCTGGCAGCTACAACACTAAGCTGATGGTAGACAATTTGGGTCAGTCAGATGAAAGCTTTTTTGCAGTTACTTTGACACATAATGCAAATATAAGTATACTATTATTAGGAAGGGCATTTAAGTTACTAGTCATTTTTGAAAAAGGCATGTTTTGAAAGAAAAAAGATACATAGTGGTTCACATAATGTATCTTCCTATGATAATAAAGTGGAAAGTGCTATGGAAAGTGCAATCCCTGGTGTTGTAAATATCTATTGAAATTAATAAGTTATACAGTTAGCACTGAAATAAAATTTTTTGTTTTTTGTTTGTTTGTTTGTTTGTTTGTTTTTTACAGCATAAGATTCTAATATTTACCATTTCCTGCATTTTCCCATAGGAATTTTCTGACCCATTTTTTGAACTGTAGGATAGTAGCATTATCGGGGACTTCAAGTCCAACAGTATAAAGTTTCTTATACTGCACACTTTTAGGTAAATCCTAGCAACAAGAAGAAAAGAAATGGTAAAAATTATTGAAGTCTTGCATCAGTGAAAAACCTTAAGCAGTAGTTAACATAATGCCAATATAAAACAGTAGTTCAAATCCTGAGTAGAAATTGAAAACAATCTTGACACAATTCTATAGAGATACTCTTAGAAACTGCCATTTACATTTCCACTTTAAAGACCTGGTCTCAAACAAAGAACAGTTTCTGCAGAACTTATTTGTCCCTGCTAATATGGCAGCACATTAAAGAGAGCAGATTCTTGTAATTCCATTCTAACCCATTTTACAATTATTAGCAATATTTGTCCCTCCCACCCACAATCATATATATACTCACATATTCACCCCCTTAAAGCTTACAGCCCATGTACATTCAAAAATTAGCATTCAGTTATAATACCGCTATTTATTCTCCTTTTCAATAGGAGGCTGATTAATCACAATTGTTTGGACCATACTGGTAAAAAATTTGAAATTTATAAAGTAGTTTCAAAATGTACATTTTCTTAGTGGACTCCACTGAAGACAATAAAAAAAGACGCTAGGAATAAATGAGAATGTCTTCAGAACACAGAATGTAGGTCTTCTGCACATTTTCGGTGGTGCCTGGCACTGAAGTCTTTATCCATTTCTCTGAGTTACCATAACACAAATGAGCCACAAATGCAACTAGCTAGGAGAAGGAGTTATTTCCTCTGTGATAAAACATTTAGTTTCTATTGGAGACACAAAATAAGTCTAGATGGCTTACTTGTCTATTCCAATTCAAAGTAAGCAAATGTGTAAATACTTTTAAAACAAAGATGGAGGTAATAATTTATTTTGTTGTTATGCTTGAATTACCTTAACTTCATAGTATCGTGTGGTATATGTTAAATCAATAATTAATCCAAGCTCCACATTTAGGGCTTTCATTGCAGCAATTAAGTCTTTTGGTGTAAATTTCTGGGTTGGAGTAAGCCTCTGGTTAATTGCCTACAATGAAAATGGAAAAGAAAGATTTTCTTTTTTAGTTCTAATAACAAGACATTTTTAATATTCAGCTGTTTTAATTAGGACTAGGAAACATCAGTATTCAAAAGGGAATGTTTACAGTATCAGAACCACATCCATGTATTATATGGATAAAAGGAACCAAATAAAAAGAAAGCAAGAATTTATTGTGTATTCCTATTCAAATGAAAATACAAGAAAATGCGTGAGAATTTCCACTTGTACAATGTTAATGAACATTATTAAAATAAGCACTAATTTGATAGACACAAAAACCCTGCAAAATGCAGCATGTATACATTGATTTTGAAATAACTAAACATCAGCAAAAAGCAAACCACCACAATCTACTTTCCTCCAAACATACTTTGTCCTGCACAGTAACACAAAATTAATAGTGTATTTCAAATAAAACATTAGAAGTTGTGATACACAAGTTCATTTCTTCTGAAGGCTTTAATGTTCTCCCCAGAAATACTGTGCAGTTATTTTTATCCCTGCTTCATGTGTTGGCAGTGTACTTGCACGTCATTTAGCACTGGGAAATATTAAATAAGACTAAAATACAGTGAGTAAGCAAGCTGTACGTTGGTGGGTAATGAAGAATTAATTTCATTTGACAAAAACAGTGGGAAAAATGTTTACTCACCCTATTGTAGCTGTGTTTTTCGAAATGTGTTCTTCATTCTAGGTATAAAAATGCCTCATATACACAAAACTGGATTTTCTCTGAATAGCATGCTTGTCCGTTGTAAGAGCCTTTTGACACAGGCTCAGCCACAACCAGTAAGGGCAGTGGCAAAAGATGCAGCAGCCTCAACGACCTCTCAGTTCCTTTGTCAACAAGAAATTCAAGTAGACTAGACTCAGAACTAATGGAGAGGAAGGCAACCTCAGACCACGTCTTAGAACCACAGATGCTATTGGGTAACTAACCATTCCTTCTTTTGTCTGTATGGATCATAATCTAAGATGCTAGCAAGCACTTATCTCGAGTTTGGAAACAGAGGGAGAAAATCAAAGTAAAGAATAAGCAGCAGGACAGTCCTATCAAAGCTGGTGTGTAGTTAGGAAGCTTGAGCTAAAGAGAGTAGGGTAGAAAGCATATAGACGTATTCAGTCCTATGTATTTCAGATACCGGTGCACTGCTGAGAAAACAGTGGAGGTTCTTGAGGTTCAAACAAAATGAACACGAGTCAGTTACCTCACCACTATTCAGCAGTGACTTTTAGTAAAATTTGAAACTGAAGTTACTTAACTTTGAGGTGACAATGATGAATCTGCAAAAGGTCTACGGTAGAACACTAAAGAATTTTTCCTTTTACTATGTGAAGTCACACAAACTGAAATGGAATATAATTTACAAAAATGAGGTATCTGTAACGTATAGGTTGATTGAGTACACAGTTAAATGTATTATAAAAGACTACGTTTTGAAAGACTATTTGGCATTTTCTGAAAAACTCTGCTGAGTATTCAAGTAATTTAGGTGTTTAATTGGGCTTTGTGAATGTGAGAAATCTGTATAAATTCTAAAATTCTTCTAACGGCATGGGGAAGAACTTGCCCAGTCCTTACCCTACTCCAATGTTACTGTTAGCATTACAATGATGATCTGAAAGGAAGGACAGAAAATCCTTCCAAGTAAACCCATGATCTTAAAGCCTTTACTAGCAGCACGTCTTCTTCTAAAACAATAACCCTTAAGTCTTGAAATACTGAAACTATGTTTTCTCCCTTTAAGTGAAATCACCAGTCATCAACTGCTGCATATTTAAGAGGTCTGCACCACCAATTTAATAATAGGACTCCTGACAGACTATGACCAATCAGGTCTTCAGCATTTCCAGACAGATTTACTGACCTCCACCATCTTTGCAAAGACATCACAGTTTAGCCAGTCATGCATTTTATGTGTATTCTGCCACAAGCTCCACAAGCTTCAAGCACACAGTCTCTGGCAGACTTGTCATTTCTGTATCTTGCATAGTTGAGATTGAACAAACTGAAAGGACAGAAACGTTACAGATTCTGATTTCTTGGGTATCAGACTTTATATCTGGCCAAGTTCAAAGACAGCTTCACAGAACAGGGATCTACGCCCCAGAGAGATCAGTAGGACTGGAAGCGAGCAACACACTGACGTAGGGTGCCTATTTGTGATACATTGCTCCAAACATTTTCTGAGAATGTCTGCCCTTTTAACCATCTCTGGTGGAACTCCTTCCAGACTGTCATAGGAGCTACAGCGAAAGCATAAAGCTAGCAACGAAGTATCCTCCTCTGAAATCTGCAGTGACACGGAACTGGAAATACATGCACTGAACAAATCTTGCCTAGAACAGTACATCTATGCAAAAAATGGTGCTGGATCAAGTGGAATTACAGGATCTGATGTAAAAAATCCTCTCAAATACCCCAACAGCAAAGAAGCTAATCATAAATCTACTGAATTTTATATTCACTGCTAGATCTGTTTATTGGCGGCCTTGGTAGAAAGACACACAACTATTGTACGATCCATCAGTACCACAGAGAACATGACCAATGTCAACTATGAGATCCTTGGTGTCAAAGGAACCAAACCATCATACTAAAGCTGTAAAAGCAGCTGCAGGAAGCAAACCCTGCAAGCACTCCGCTTCAGTCACTGCTGATAAAAGTGAGCTGAATGGTGACTGAAAACATAACGGGCAATAATATACCCAAAGAACCAAATTTTTTGTATATGAATCCTAAAGTGCAATCTGTAGACAACAGCTTAGACAGAATATTTACTCTTTAACTGCTAAGGTTACGTCTAGCCACAGAACTTTAAAAGAGCTTAGAAACTTTTATTTCCTGTGTATCGGAAGCAAGGACTTGTAGAGAGCTAATTTATACAGCACTTGTGTTAATTTACACTGAAGAGCAAATTTGCCCTATTTGCCCTATACCTCAATCCACCAAACAACTGAAGAGTCTAAAAAAGACACCCTCCACATTTTTTATTGTTACAAAGAATTAAAAGATCTGACTCAGTGTATTTAATAGATTAAGACAGCACTCCATGTTAGTAAGAAACTAAAGGAAGTACTAACACATTAATAAAAGAAGTCTATGAAGACTTCCTTTTTAAATATACTGCATTCCTCCAGATCACTAAAGCTTTTTGCTTATGAAATTAGTAATCTGAATCTATAATTTTATAAGTACTGCAGTAGCTGGTATCCTTTGAGTGGTTGATTTCCATAAAATTATATTTTGGCTTACATTGCCTAGATTGTTATTCATATTATAACCCCTTCCATATGATTTTCTTACAACAGTCATGAAAAGATGTTAAATAAGACAGTGAATTTAGGCCACTTACCAGTGATCAAATGAATTGTGCTGATTGATTAGAGGTTTTATGATTTTAAAAGATAAATAAAAAGAGTAACACGAAATATAAATTTTAAAAGAAAGGGAAAAATATAGAATATTATGCAAAAAAGCCACTAGTAGATGACTGGAAGGGCTAAATGTGAATAAATTATTTTTTCATAAAACTTTCCTGAAGTTTGCATGAATATTCATGCTATTCTTCATTACTGTTGCACTGTATTTAATAGAGCCAATCCGTAGTTACTTTTTATACATACCCCTTTTAAAGGTACTTTGAATGCAATAAATCTAGTTCCTGGTATAGGTTGTCCAACTGGTGTCAAACTCCGCCATCTGTAATGAAACAAAAACTTATTTTTAAATATTTTCAAATGACATGATTCAACAGAAGACACCTGCAGCTTCAAAAATTCCTCTTAGGATTACAACTTTGGTAAAACAAAGCACATAAAATTATGCTCCCTTAAAATTATATTAACAGTTATTTCAAGCTATGTGAAGTATCTTACAAATATGAGGCAAATCCAGTGCCATACTTCACATAGTTTGAATATAATAGTTATTTCAAACTTCTCCAAGCAGAAAGATAGTTGTCTTTTTTTCTATGATGGGTCATGCAGCTACTAGTCTAATACATTAAGATTTAGATTTCCAAACAGCAGGATCCAATAGTTCCTAAAATTCCTTGACCACATAAGCAAGCAATCGTACCTGATATGCATGAGTTTTATAAAATGACGAGTGAAATCCTGATATGTAAGTAAAATATTTTTTAAAATCCACCTTCCATTAGTAACCTGCCTGTTTCACCAAGAAACTAAGATATTTTTAGAATAACTATTAAAAATTATTACATATTTGAATAAAATTAATAGATCAGCATTATTTTGGGATAAAAGAAACAGGGAGTTAACTAAAAGATGCTGGAAGAACATCAACAGAATATTACTACAGCACTGATCAAGGCAGAAGCTTATTTAGCACACCACACAGCTTAAATAAAGACATTTTTATTGTTTGCAAGTCTGAAGTCAGGAGCCATAATAAAATTAATCTTTATTCTCTTTAGAGCACCACCACAAAGAAAATACTTCTTAGAGATAATGTGCACGACTGCTGTTACCATAAAGTAGAATTATGTCCCCAAATTCGCAATTATTTCATGAAGTGGTTTCAAGGTATCATCAGGGCATTTGAAAATGGTATTTTTCTTTCCTTCTTCAACTATCAAAAAATTCCTCCCCTCAAAATGGTAGGACAGCATTTACAAACAAGTAGCATCAATATAAAGCAAAGCAGATGGGTAAGGTTCAACAGGTAAAAAAGTATTGTTGTATTATAGTTGGTGGAAAGTTTTCAACTTGGCTGAATCAAACACCTTTAAAAAATTATCATAATGCTTGCATCAATCATTTAATTGATGATGTTTACTTTCATTAAAAATACAAAGCTTCTAGATTTTGCAAATGTGTTTACTTTGTAATATGCTTTTTCAAAGAAACACTCTTGACTGCACTTTCTTTTGGTACTTTGAAAAATACAGAGAATATTCCATCACATCAAAACTTAGCAAAAATCACATTGTAATATGAAGATTTGTTACAACACTCAAAATACTAGCAATTCCACACCCACAAAGAACTGGTATTCACAAATTCTACGTTGTACTGAAAAAACTCTTGATGTATCAGATTTCAGAGATTTCGGGGTTTTTTAAAAGTATGAAAAGCTTTATCTGAAGAGGAAAACAAGTTAAGCAGCAGCTCAAATTTACCTTCAATGAGGCAACTTACTAAATTTACGAGTTTTATTTCTTCCTCTCATGTAAGGACAAATTATCTCTATGACCTCAGAAGATGCAGCTGGATGACTTAGAAATCTACATAGTCTTTTTGCATTTTCAGCTAGTATCTCAACTGTTAAAATACATTTTCATAAGGTTCTTTAACACTGGTGCCCATTCACTTACAATTTTCTGAATTAATGTTTAAATTAATCTTTAAAGGGAGCATCCGACAGCTTCTAGATTTCCTTTCTGATTTCCACAAAATCACATCATTTATGAAATAAACTGAATACTCCATTTTAAAATATTCTGACCACTGAATATTTTGCTTTGTTCACAATTTCCATATGGGACCATAAAAAACCCTACATGTTGGCTGGCAAAACTCTCAATGAAGTATCCGTAATTATACTTGTCATAGTATATAAATAATAACATTATCATTCACAGATGCTTGGAAGTAACAAAGGAATTACAGCATGGTGACAGAAACATAATTAATACTAAATAATCATGTAACAATCTGCTACATCAACGTCTTTAGCACTAACTTATCTTTTTTGTCTTCATCATGAGCTAAAGGACAGATTGAGGCTCAGAATGTAGACATACAGATGCTTAGTGTAATGGATAAGAAACGAAATAACAAAGGAGTAATAATAGCTCATCATTAGGAAGGCTGTTGCGAACAGCTGTCACTTTGAAGACAGATACAAGATGAGAAGGTGTAAGGGCAAGCTAGAGATTAAATCACTGAGAGGTGTTTGCAGGAAAACCTTTTACTAAATTCTAAATTATTGCAGGAACTTTGTACCTCGTAATTGCAATGAGGGAACAAAACCAGTCTCCTACTTCATATATTCCCTTAGTTTAGGATAGTTGCATACAGGGGAAAAAAAAAGAGCACGTTCTCAATCACCATAGTTTGAAAAGCATTGCTCAAAAAATTACATATTGTGTATTATAGAAGAAAACTTTTCTAGCTTGACAAGTCTTCCTAAGTGAATTTTCAAGCTTGTAAACTTTGGAGTCTGGTAGTTGTGCACTTGTAAAATATGAAAACAAAAATCTGAGACTGTTTTCTATTTATTCTAGCTTAAGATAGATAAATTGTATATAAGTCAATTAAGATCACAAAAAATGTAAACGGACTGAAAATATTACCAAAACTAACAAACCCCACAACATAATGAAATATCTTAGTTGCAAGAAGTGCTCAGTTAAAAAAAATAAAATTAAACAAAATCTGCAGAAAAACTGTGAAATCTGCCCTGTGCATAGATTAATTTTATCTCATTCACTTCATCTTAGAAAGGTACTAAATGCTGTGAACCTTATTTAGAACTATATTTAATCTGAACTACTGTTAAAATTAATGACAAAGGCTTAATACCAGCTCCTGCCTCTTGCTCATTTGAATAACTCTAGAAATTACATGTCTGTATTTAAAACTTTTGCTTTTGCTCTTAAACTTCCAAACAGAATTAGAAAATGGGCTGTACCTAGAGATATAGACAGTAGTGCAGCAAATGCCGTCCTAGAGATAAACCAACCAAGAACATAGTATTTTTTCTTCAACCTAGTTCAATTACTTTTTGGTGTTACCTTTACCAATAAAATGTACAAAATGCTTGACAAAAGTAGGATTTAATCTGACAGCGAGCCATATTCACATATATGTGTTTAGAAATATTTTAAAGGTAGGCAGAAGTAAAAAATCCCAACCACAAGAGACCAATTACCTTATGTAGTAACACAATTTAAAAGATGCCATAAATTAGAAAATCGGGTCTTTTTTAACCTACTTTCTCCTGGAAAACTATGAGTGGAAATCTACCATGATTATCATGAATACAAGCAATTAGGAGCCAGTAAGAAATGATTAAAAAAAAAGGCTTAAAAATCTTATTTCCTTTAATTAGCATTGTAAAAAGGCTTTGTAAAAATTCAGAACTTTTTTTCAGATTAAAGGATTGACAGAACAATGCACCAGGATTACATAGTTTGTTGTCAGACCTTAATAAACTTGGGTTTTTATTCTCCTGTATTTAAAGCCATCTAAATCCTCCCAGGAAAAAATCTGCAAAATCAGCAAGAAACTCAAAAGCTGCTGACAGCTCTATGGTAAAAAATGAGCAGAAGGCACTCTTCATCAAAAAATATAAAGTGTATGTGTTCGACGTTATATTTAAAATTATATTTAAAAAGGAAATTTCAGCATACTGCTGGAGAACTAAAAATTATCTCAAATTAAAACCAGCAGATTGAAATTAAGCAAAGATTGGCTAAGGAAATAAATTCAAATTTGTTCTGTTGCCAACAAAGGAATATGGTTGGGAAATATAGGTGATGGACTAAAGAAAGTAAAACTCTTACAGAAGTCTAGGTAAAGGCAGAAATGACAAAAGACAAGTGAGCTGCAGGTGGTCACATAAACAGGAGTTACAGGATCAAAGACATAAATAAGCATTTTAACAAGTATGAATGAGAATTCTGACACATGATTTGTGTCGTGCTTGAACGTAAGTGGAAGGAAGCAAGCCAGGAGTCACAGGTGTTATCACAAGACTTGGCACCATCATTCCTGTACCAATGACTAAAAGGTAGCAGAGGCTTGAGTTAAAAACAAGCCAGACATGAAGTAGCTGAAAAGCCAGCAGGAAGAGTTTCCGAAAAGAGGCAGTGGTATCTTACTGAGACACAGACATGAAATTTATTTCTATGCCTAGAAATAAACGTATGCATTAGCATCACAGAGGTACTAGCTCTGGCCATAGAACCGATGGCATTCCCATTAGAAAGATGTTGTAATAAGAATCTGAAATGGAATAATGTAAATTCAGAGAAACACTGCAGATTCGCAATACAAATAATAGTCAGAAGAAGACATATCCAGGAAGAATCTGAAGTGTGATAACTTCTGTACAAAACACAATGGTTCTCAAATTGCAGACAATCTAGGTCAGCATACATTAAAGCAAACTATCATCTTAAAATCTGTGATACTTCTTGCCCTTTCACAAAACAAACCTCCCTCTGAATCTCAAGAAGTGTGTAAAAAGAACTGCAAATGAAACTCAAGTTCGCATCAAAATAGCTATGATAGGCTTTTATGGACCCAATATGGTAATTAAAATTTTTCTGAACTCTAAACTACCCAAAGCCACAAAAAATCAGAATTTGCATGTTCAAATAGAAAAGTAATTAAGAGAGAAGAGCACTTAAATAAAAAGTGACATATTGCGCACACATGACACATTTTCAATTACAGCTTTATTTTTCTAAGTTTTCAAACAGGTAAGCAATCCATGGACTACATTCAGATCAAGACTTGAAAGTCATCAAAACATATAAATTAACCAATTATTTAACTATTTAGCTTTCGCAGTTCCCACTTCCCTATCATGTTTTGTCTTCATCGCTCCCCAACTACCATCAATCATCTTAAACCACAGCCAGAATTTTGCCTGCCATTCTAAACAAAATAATCACTTCTTGGTTGAGAAAAATTGTTAAAATCAAACTAAAAATCATTCCCCTTTCCCTC